ACTTTCCACTCACAAACCTCCTCCGCCCCCTCCTACTCTTCCTTCAGGCTATTCGACTTGACCTCCTCATCACACCTCTCGCGTTTATCCACTCTTCCCCATCCCAGAAAACTGGGATATAATTCCATGGGCGCTGGCAGCCCTTTGACACTGTGCCCAAGTGGCCAATTTTTGTACAGAAACCTGGACATTGAATGTCTTTAGGCTATTTGACTTTGGAGGGCATCAAAGCTGAACCTTATCTAGGATCAACACACGTGCACTTTTCCAGCAGAAATCACTGGATAACGATTGCGTCCCATCCCACTCTCTTCATGCCTGGGGATTCTGAAGTCACTCTTCCCACGCCACTGTTATATTCTACCTGGTTGGCTTACAAATGAAATACATGGAAGGACATGATCAGCTCTATCAGCCTTACGGAAAAGTAGTTGGGAGCAATGGATTTTTGTGAAAATAAAGTTCTCTTCAGTGGCTGCAACTTATGAGCTTGATAACTCCACGATTCTGTCTCAATCATCTGTGTGTATATTTAATTTGTGTAATAGTTCGACAGTTTGAAAACTGGTGCTAATGATCCTGGTCTCACTTGAGACATAAATGCAAATATTCAGGTTGTAGAATACCCTAATTCATCGTAAACCCCTCTCTCTTTGTGATAAATAATCTATCATGTACTACCAGCAAGTTCTAGTGTGACTTTTGTACTACTATTGGTGAGGTTGTATACCTCTTCTGACAAGGCATTGTCTTTTTCCAATGGTTTCATCAGGTCTTTCACCAATTTGTTTGAGAGGTTAGACTACGTTCCTTGAGTCTTCTCCACTGCTGTACCATTACTGGTTTTGGGCAGCACGTAAGCAGCTGAAACTTCCCTTTTGCTTTAATTCTATTGAGACTTTCAGACTATCGTTATAGCTGTGAGTTTAAAAAAAAAATTACCTGGCATAAAATTACAAGTTTCCCAACACTGGGTACTGCCAAATATCACCCACATTACCTGTAACTTCTAAAAATCCAGTTACTCAACTGACAAGAAAATGCAGCTATTTTAGAAATGGAAGACTGGGCCAGAAAACAAGAATTCCTCTCATTTGTCTTTTCAAAAAAGAAGAAAATTAACGATTTCTTTTGCTTTCCCTAGTTGATTTTTGTATATATGAGGGTAATTCTCTTTTTTAAAAAAAAAACCTACACTTTCATACTAGCAGACACATTTTTATGCTGCCTTTGAACTGGAATATGATGAGGGAATGCTTGTATTTATGGTGTTAAATACCTATTCTTGTTGGGAATAGTTAAGATCTCCAAGAAGGGGAAGCAGAAGAAGAATGTTGCATGATAATTAATGCTATAATTTGGGAATTCTTAGTCTGGTTTTCAAGCCATGTAACTACAGAGAGCTACAGCCTAAGAAGACTGTTAATTTGCCTATTCTTTGTGCTAGCTCTTTATAAATTACAGACTTGTTAAATTATGTAAATAGTGACTCTTTGAGAACCATGCAATTGATATTTACTCAGGGTTCAAGATCCCCAAAAAAGGAAGCCGTTCTTGGATACTGGAGGTTACAATCCAATATTCAAGGGCAACATTTCATCGTTCTGTAAATCAAACACGATCACACATCCTCTTCTATCCTTCAAGCAATGAGCCAAGCAAAGTAGGAGATAGTCGTTTAGTTTCCAAGCATTCTCTTCAACACCATACTTTAGCCATGGGTAACAATTCCAAAAGCTATTAAAACTCATCCAAATCACTGCACTGCAGGCAAACCTTGGAACTGTTATGATCTATCATTGGAACTTTAACTGTAGAATCATTAAAGATCTGCCACTTAGAACCTGAACCCTGATGAACTCTCATGTGTTTATTCTAACAATGGAATCAGTCCACTTGGTTACTAGAAAAATTCATCCATTTTATTATTGGTCAACATCTAATTCTAAACTTGATTACCTCCTCAAAAAAGGTCAATCGAAAAGATTGAGGGCAGAGTGGTAAACGTTTACGTGGACTTTAGTGAAACCTTTGACAAGGTTCTGCCTAGTAGACTAATGTGTAAAATTAGATCTAATAGAATTCACGGAGAGCTTGCCAATTGTATTCCAAATTGGCTTGACGATAGGAGACAGAGGGTGGTGGTGGAGGGTTTTTTTTTGGACTGGAGGCCCGTGATCAGCGTTCCACAGGAATTAGTACTGGGTCCACTTCTGTTTGACATTTGGATGAGAATTTAGGAGGCATGATTAGTAAGTTTTGAGGATGATGCCAAAATTGATGGTATAATTGACAGTGAAGAAGGTTATCTAAAATTACAAAAAGATGTTGATCAATTGGGTCAACAGGCTGAGGAGTGGCAGTTGGAATTTAATTTGGATAAATGCGAGGTATTGTATTTTGGTAAAATGAACAATTATTGACAGGGCCCTGCATAGTGTTGTAGAACAGGGAGACCTAGGGGTTCAGGTACATAATTCTTTGACATTTTCATTGCATGTAGACAGGATGGTTAAGAAGGTGTTGCACAGGCTTACCTTCATGCTCAGACCTTTTGAGTATAGGAGTTGGGTGTCATTTTAAGGTTGTATAGGACATTGGTAAGCCCTCAATTCTGGTCCTCATGCTATAGGAAAGGTATTATCAAATTGGAGAGGGTTCAGAAAAGATTCATCAAGATCTTGTTGGGACTGGAGGTTTGGATTTATAATGATAGGCTGGGATGTTTTCATAGGAACATTGGAGGTTGAGGGGTGACCTTATTGAGGTTTATAAAATTGTGAAGAGCAGAGATAAGGTGAATAGCAAGGGTCTTCTCCCTACGGTGGGGTAGTTTAAAACGAGTGGACAAAACTAGGTACAGTTACAACATTTCAAAGACATTGGATAAGTACATGAATAGGAAAGGTTTGGAGGGACATGGGCTAAATGCAGGAAAGTGGGACTAGTTTGGTTTGGGAACATGGTCGGTGTAGACTTGTTGGTTTGAAGGGTCTGTTTCCATGCTGTATGACTGTATAAGTCCCACCTACTCCAGAATTGGGTCATACCATGTCTGAGCGGTTTGATTTTTTAAAAAATTGCAAGATCTAACAAGGCTCGGGTATCACCGGGGTTAGTGACCCTATCTCTGGGGGGCCAGGAGGTCCAGGTTGAAGTCCCACCTGCCCTGGAGGTGTGTCATAATGTGCACAAGCTCCCAACCAGCTGTGGTGGTTGAAATGTGACCACCTCCTTTATTCTCTTGTTTACTGATGAGCCTGTTCTGAGGTCAAGATGAAAGCAATTGAGTTGATCAATGAACCTACACACACAACGGTCAATTGTTACCATCACTGACATGAAATTTCTGGGACATGCACACAACTATCAACCACGGTATTGTATTGGCCGCAGGATTAAAGGAGTGTTCGCCAGTGCTCTGCAGTACATAGTCATTTGCCATTATCCATTAACAGTATCTTTGAACGTGCAATAAAAAGTGAATTCATAGAAAAAAAAATGCAGTGTGGTCAATCTAGCACTTTTGGCAATATCTTGGCCCGTTTGTACATCAATGTTTTGTGACCCCAGCTACTTAAGTTGCTAAACAACTGCTGATTTTTGTTCATGGTGAATCTGAATTTTTAAATCAGCATGGCATTTGTGTGAATTATTCAGAAGTGCATTGGCTGGTGTCTTTGGCTTAGTTTAGTGTTAATTACCAGCTTTTTCTCAAGGGTCATGATACTGCACAGTGTAGTGAGAGCCAGTCTTGGAAACAGTACAAAAGAATGATGGGTCCGTCACTTTCCAAGTCATTTATCCTCAAAAATGTTTCCAAGAAGTTGCTAAATAGTGGCCAAGAATAAACTGAGTAGAATTTCACCAGTTCTGTTTTGTAACCTGTTCTGTGAATATAAGGACATAAGAAAGGGAGTAAGAGTAGGATATTTATCCCCTCAAGCACGTCCTGTCATTCTAGATATTTTTCTCATCAGCCTGTTCAGAGATGATATTACATACCTCTGGAAGCAGGTAAGACTTGAACCCAGGCCTCCGGATCCAGAGGTATGAACACTACCATTGCCCACAAGTTCAAAGCTGGTCTACCCAGGCCTCCCACCTGTGGTTTTAATGACACGTTTTTTTTTTAATTGCTCTGGATATACATCCCTGCCTCCTAATACTAGGATCATTTTGCCTCCAGGCTAGTAAATGATTAGTGTAAGGGAGTTGTGCTGTTTTCCAGTTCCAATACTTTAACTTCAGGGTAACTGGAGCTGTATAGACATTCACCAGGACGGCTGTGCTGAGTATGACTGGGAAAGAGGCAAGAAGCATCAGGCTGCTAAAAGTACAATGAAATAGTAGGAGAATTTATCGACCTCCTGTTTGTGTATTTAGTGGAAAGCATTCCTACGCATTTTCCAGATGTTCAATCAAAATTCAAAGTTAGAGGCTTGTCAAATTCCATGTGTTTTTTCTGGACAAAAAATGATTGGTGCTCAGGGAAAAAAGAAAGGCAGGTAATAAAAGCTTACAGCAGGGAGGATATTTTGTATTTTCTCTTCATCCATCTTTCAGTAGCAATGGTTTGCATTTTCATACATTGGTACAATTAAATATTGTTGGTTATTTTCATAAGGATGAAGAGCAATGCTAACCTAAGTGTGTTTGTAAATTTTTGACTTGAGCTGATAAACACAAATAGTTAGATTTCCCAAGCATTACTGATCAATATCCAGTTTGTATTTAGTTTGTGTTTTGTTCTTTATCCCTGACAATCTGCAAGTGACTATAGAACTGCTTTCTTGTGAAATACTGTATTGGATAAAATGGAAAGTGAAGGAAAGTTCTCCTTTCCTATTCAAATGCTGTTAGACTGCATTCTTGGCCTCAACTCTGATATTGA